ATAAGAATGGTTTCAGGATGCTGTCGAAACTACCGCGAAACTGTAGTGCATCATCGTTTGTTGTTTGCTCAAGCGGGAGTAGATGACGTTTTTGCTGTGATGCGAAAAAAGACGGCGTCACTACTCTCTAGACTGCGTTAGTCCTTACAGTATCCTAATAAGCTCAATGCGTTGAAGCTTCGTCTTTTCATCCTGGTTCTGGTAAGGTGATGGGCTAGCCGACGCCTCTTTTTTAACCCAGGCAGTGTTACCCTCTATGACATTCCTTTGAACACCTCCTACCTATCTCTAATAGTTTCCGTGATAGAAAGCTTTGAAATTTGTATGGCGGCCATCTTGTTTATTTGAATTTCGAACATTTTTTACTTCCCGCGGAAATTGACCATGGTGTATCTCATAAAAATGCACAAAAATCCCCCAATGTATTATAGTTTTTGCAGGCCGTTGATCACTCGTTAACATTTTCCACTTTCAGGTCTTCTCATATTTGATTCTTTGCCTTGGAGCCTATCAGCGTACAACGGTATAAATATCTTTTTTCCACCATATCGGGAAGTATGCGTTCTATTTTTCTAAGTGAGTCTAAACTTGTAGCTTTATATATATAATGTTTTTACGTTTTTGTGATTTGTCTCTGTATCTACTAAAATAGTTGTAAGTTAAAATTGTCTAAATTTACTAAGAAGTGGGCCTTGGATGCCATCCTCCTTTTTATTATTATTGTTATTACCTGTATTTTTCTCAGTTTGTTAGCTGGTTTGAACCACACTTACGGACCGAAATCAAGTAATGCAGTATAGCGTGTATCTATCTACTCATTTCGATCCTGCAGTCAAACTGTATATACAGTTTTGTAGGACTATGTTTATTTAAATATATTGTACCCCCTTTTCTTAAATTCAAATAAATAAATAAATAATAATGTGATGGGTGTGTAATAAGATCCTACTGTACAATGCGGCATGTATTTAAAATTACAGCTTTTTGCAAGGTTATGTAGAGGCTTTCTTTACACCCTAATACTTTCGAAGCTATGGAGAAGATTATTATTTTTAATTCACTATTACATCCCAAAGAATTATTAGTATCTGGTAACCCTACAAGTGATATAGTGCACGCAGCCGACTAATCTCAACATTTGGACGCATTACTATAAATTGAAATAAGTGAATTAACTGTTTTTCGATCGTAAATTGTCCTCGCCTCGTAGTGATAATTCACTACGGCAGAATTCTGTTATATCGGTTTTACTTGACATTACGGTATTGATTATCTACATGATGTACTTATACGATTGGCGGGAACTTTGGAGCTGCAATTCGTTATATTGGATTCTATAACTTTAGGTTCTTCTCCGTGAGCTTATCTTTACTACGTATATTTATTTTTGTATATACTATAATTATACGGTACATTTTGCAATGGATAGTAATGATGGTGTATAGCTTTATGTAAAACGTAAAGTGAGCAGTTTAATAAGAATAAAAATGCCAGTTACCGCCAACTATCGAGTATATAACCAGAAATAGAGACGAAATTTCATTTAATTTGTTTGAAAACTATTCTACCAAATCATTACGGTGACTACTGCGCTTCGATTTGCCAGCACGAATTCGAAACCATTGACGGGTGTCGTCAATTGTTTAACTTGATGGACGAAAATTTTAAAATTTCGTATTTAATATTTAATTAGCGATGAAATATGATTCCGTTTGTTTTGTAATTAGATGTTTTACTGTTTTTCCCACACCACCGAATGAAACAGCCCCCCATAGTAATAAAGATAACATCTCTAGATGTTATCTTTATTACAATAAATACAGAATATTTTGATTGTTGATATTTAAAAGTGATATAAGGCCCATTTGCCTAATGAGTTGCCAGTGATGGATGTTCCTTATTTCGTCTCTATTTCTGGTTCTATACTCGATGCCGCCAACAAATTTCCCTGCGATTTATTTATTCTAAATTTTTGTTGGAAAGAGGTTACCTCAGCATTGATCCCATTTAAATTTGAAGAAATTATTCCACCTCTAAGGGTGGCAGATTAGGTGATGTATCTGGTTTCGCGAACTTTTTACTAACCGATTTCAATGAAACTTGGCAAATAGATCTAGAATTCCACGAACTTTTGAGTCGTTTTTTTAACACTGTACTGAATTATTTATATTTTACTTGATGTGGATAGAGCCTATTGTTTTAATTGTTCTAGCTATATAAATCTAAATGAAACTTACAGCTTGTTATGTCCATACAAACTACAGTTACATAGACTAAGCCCTTGTAAATCACAAGGCGTCTATTCTCGGAGCGAGCGTTACTAATCACAGATTACGAGTTAATAACGTAACTAATTCGAGTAGAAAAAGTGCGCCGGCACAGGTGCCGTTAATTCGCAAGCCGTATTTACATCATCGATCGATATTGGAAATTGAGAATAGAAATTAAATTTGATTTCAAATCCGTAGATAACATATCGTCATGCCTTTCTCCTGTGAGGTAGACAGGTTTTATAGACAACCTTTGCTTTGTGCAGGTACCACAACTTTACTGTATTCGTGAACTCTCAGTTTGCAGCTTGCTTTTGCTATTTGATATTTTACTTCTTTAGTCATATGCAAAATGCATGCACATGCAGGCGCGTCAACGTTGAGTAGCGGACACCAGCAAATTCCACCATACCATATTACTTCTTTATTTATATTTTAAATTCCTCTCAATAAAAATGTCGCGTGGGCCGCCACGTAGACCAAATTCAAGAAAAGCTAGCTCGCGTGGCCGGAACGCTCATTTAAGATAAAACGTAAAAGCTAAACACATAGAGCGTATTTTGTCATAACAGTTACACTCACGCGCGACGGCAACGCGGACTCCTCTCTTCGACCGTCGTGGGGCGGTCGCCGCGGACTCCGCTCGGCGACCGCGCGAGGGGAACGCAAAATTCAAGTCGCCGCTTTGTCAAAACAGTGATGTTTTAGTCACTTATTATATATTTTAACTGTGACTAACATAATGTGCCCGACAACCACACCAATTGCATGGTCACAAACTAAGGAACTCCCTGTACCATGAGCATTAGAGCAACGGAATTCACTCTGGGGCACTTCCCAGAACATCCAGACCAGAACCAATTTAGAAAAGTTCATTTTCCAAATTGCTCCTACCCTGAATAGAGCCCAGGACCTCCGCATCCACCACTCGTAGTATAAACCGTTAGGCCATCTAGATCGTCAAAATATAATATATACCTACATACAAATAATCTTCACCTAGTGTAAAAATAAGTTTAGTTTGCGTTGCGTACATGTATATAAAAAATGAAAGCCACGTTAGAATATCGAAACATTTATTCACATTCTGTCAATAATTTAACTTATTTCTATACATAAAACAAATAAGGAAGACTAGCACGTCGCGAGTTTAAACAACATGCTTTCTATTTACATAGATACAGAGTATATTATTCTAAATTAACATCGAGTCCCGGCATTGGCAATTGGCATGTACACACGTTAAACAACATTAATATACATGGGATTGAGTATGGATGGGTACTTCTTTTTGTCATATATTTTTAATTATTAATACCAACTCAAGTTAGCGTCTGGCACGGTTTGATAGAAAACGTCGGTTCGAATCGGCCGGATCGAAATTTTTTTTTCTAATTTGATCTTTGTATTAATAATTATAACAAACTAGTGGAGTAATTTCACATAAAAAATAATTTAATATCAATTCAATAAAAAATTACACACATTTTAACTTTAAAAAAATATTATTAGGGGTTTGCATTGATGCACAAGATTATTCTGTTCATTGGGGACATTAATTTGAATACTGTAATGGTATTCGATATCCTTTTTCTGTCTAAAAAGTGCATTTTGCTTGTAATTGTTACGTTTATATTATTATATTTTCGATTGATTGAAAATTTTTGATGTGTTTCATACATCAAAAATTTTACAATCCTTTGTTTCGTTTAGCATTTGGTTGAATAGATTCAGAATTTCTTATAAGAAACTTTCTCTTCAACGCCAAAAGGCTCTTCACCCACGTTTTGTGGCCGGTGGCGCCAGCGCCGATGTATGCCGCGTCAAAATGGTTAGACGAAGCACCTTCCGGCGTCAGACAGAAAATTTATTAGAACTGAACTCCACTTGTAATTATACTTGATGTTCAAGTATAATCGGTACACTTAATGCTGAGACGCGCTATTAATGATGTAAAACACAGGTTCAATGTAGACACCGTGCTGAAGCGTGCTGAAATGGGTATCCAAGTTATAAGAATGAAAATAATAAGTATCATTTAGGTACAAAATTTTGTTTTGTAACTGGTCTAACAACATAATGCTGAAATTATACATTTTTTAAACTATAGACTGAGATTATTAAAACCTTTATCTTTCAAATACATTGCATACTGAGTTTAAAAGGAAGAATATTCAATGTAACCCCACTTGCTAGCGTACTTCGGCATTTTGTCCATGTGTGTTTTATAGAAGATGTCGACATTATACTTCACCATTAACTATGCTGACAAAACTCTATATGTATAAAACACAAACGTTTAACATGGACAGTATGCCGACGCGTGCTAGCAAATGGGTGTCCATCACTAACTTATTTTTACAACAAGTATACACTTAAAAACCTAAAGACTACACTTATACAATATAGCTTAAATTAGAACTCGTTTTTAGTATAACAAAATTGTATTATACAATGAAACATAAACAAAAAAAAACAAACAATATGCCTTCTTGACTCATTTGGAAGACAGTACATGGAAGAGTTAACGCAACAATCTACGGAATTATGGCAAGTAAATAATTAAATATTTGAAAAAATAATTTAAACTAAACGTTTGGAATGATCTTAGTCTAAATCTATTTACATTATAACAGAAACAATACATTATAATACCACTTTTGATAGACCAATATCATAAGATTTTCTTTTTAAAGAATCGTTAGCAAATTTCACATTTCAAAGGTCAGTAAAGGTGGCCGTTTACAACAAAATCTTAATGTATTTACAATTATTGTGTCACTTAACATCGTTGTAACTAAGAAATTATATTAGAGCTTATAAAGTATTTTGTTCATCTTTGAAACTTCACATAAGGGTAAATTTCACTCATTAGCATCTACCGCACTACTGCCAGTTACTAGTTATTAGTCACTATTACCGTACAAATACTGCTAATAATATAATAAGTGGTTATCAACCCTAAATCTTAAAAGAAAGAGACGTCAATAATTTAAAAGAGTTATTTCTTTCAAAGCGAACTACTACAATTTGTTACTGCATTATTTTTTTGTACTGAACAGGTAAATGAGCAAAGCTATGTTTTTAGCGTAAAATTAAAATTATAACGGTAATCCATCGTTTTAAAATTAACACCTGTATTTATATGTTCAACAGTGGCTAGGGTCAGCGTAAAACATCAATACTGTAAACTTGTAGTGGAGGTACGGTATCGGCTACAAGTCAAGCTCTTGATATTAAAGGCATAAGAGTGAATTTGGAAATGAAGTTAACATGAATTTCATATAATAAAATGCTTAGTACAAGGGCTGAGGAATTCCCCTTTGACCTGAAGTCATGGCCATAGGAACAACAAACAACTTACTAACACCACCATGCTAACAAGAACTTTCACAAACTTCAAAATTAACTTACCTCACACGAAACATACGCAATGTGGGGCTGTTGGTCCTGTTTACTTTATTGACCTATTTGCCTTATTGACTTTGTGTCACATCTGAAGTTCATGCACATGTTCTATAATATTGATTTAATGAAGATTATGTTGCTGGAAAACACGTCCATTTAAAAAAATACATAAACTGACAATGCGTCTTATTTCTAAGTAAAACTTATAAATACAGGTGTCAAAAATAAATCCAATAATCCATATAAGTACATACATATGTATCAAAATCCGTTGTTTCTAAAATTTGCCATCCATAATTTCAAAACTTAGATTCAATCCTTATCCCCTACAAACCTGTAGTTAACAGGAGGAGGTCCTGGCATACAGTAGCCGTGGTAAGTGCGTATGTCCTCTGCAGCGTAAGTGACTCCTGGTAAAACACCAGGCTCGGTGTGATGCTTGGGGCAGCTGTGATCTCGTGGACATTGGCAGATCGTACTGGCGTTTACCTCGTCTATTTGTTCATGGCGCCTTCTAACACTGAATAGACGGCACGGTTCCTTTCTTGAGCAACGTAGCCTCTATGGGAAGATGGATATTTTACATTAACAAATAGATAGATTAAAAACATTATTAGCAGGACTGCGCTTTGGTTTTCGTTATAATATTTTTGTACAAATTTTATAAAAAAAACTAATACCTTTAAAGTTATTTTAAAGTTCACTTTCCATCTACAAAAAAAATTGTTTCTAGTGCCACCATGCGGCTTTTGACTGTACTAAGAAGAACATTCACAAAATTCAAAGCTACTTACACTCTGCGGGGAACACGCGAACTGGTACTGATTCCCCTGCTCGCCGCTAGGTGTCGTGTACGGTAGCTTCTTCAACAAATAAGTAACCGAGTTCTTAGGGCAGTGACAACTGACAACTTGCTGGGTTGCATTGCTGTCTGGGAAGGAATAGATAGTCCAGGCAGCGTCTTTGAAGTACCGGCATTTAGGAAGACGTTTGACGGGCTCACACATTTTGTAGAGGGTCGTTTTGTCAGCTAGGGTGTGATTGTCATCCGACGAGAGCTCACTGAAATTAGAAAACGATTATTAAATTATTAAGAGAGAACACAATGCAAAATAGACTATTCAATAATGAGGAAATTTGTTTTCAAGTCATACTAATTAATGAACTTTCACTTGTTTGTTTCATGTTTAACCGATTTCAAAAAAAGGAGGAGTTTTGACATTCGACCGTTATTTTGTTTTGTATGTATGTTACGCGATTACTCCGAATTTGTGAATCGATTTTGATGATTTTTTTTTTGTTGGAAAGAGGGAACCTCACCTATTGGTCCTATTTAAATTTTAAGGAAATGACTCCTGTTTCACGCACTTTTCGGTAACTGATTTCGATAAAACTTGGTAAATGGATGTACCTAGGTAATCCACGAACTTTTGAAGTCGGTTTTCTTTTTTATAAAAAAAGTTATTTTACACATTATTTAAATATCGTACTAGTGTATATCGATAGAATAATTCATAAATAAACATTCAAAAAGATTAAAATTTTACCTCGAACAAGGTCTATGTCCTAAACAACGACACTTCTTCTCAATCCATGGCTGAGTGGTATCGTAAAGATCCACCTTGCTGCAGACCTGGCGCGGCCTGCAGTCTGGCAGATCCACCTCAGATGCCTGGAAACAATAACATTAAATTACATTAAAACACATAATTGCATAACCTAAATATGAACTTGTTTTAAGACAAAAACCTAAGATACTAAATCTCTGCCAGAAGCGCAGATATGACACAAACTTAACTAACTAACTTTAATGAATATTTTATTACAGGATATTGTTTTATAAACAATCGAAGAATACGTAATCTTAATTATTTATTATAATCGCAAGCAACGTTAGCAATTGGTAGTCGTCAAGCCTCTGCAAGTTCACATTGCACATTATTGATTTGTTTCGTTTTAATTCAATACACACTATCAATTCGCATTCAGTGCCAATACATTCGCTTCAGCAGTAAAATTTAACACGGCGTGAATACAAAATTCTAAAGAAACCATCGCTACAAAAGTTAATTTTTTTTTCGACCGGACCTGCGTGGGAAATACTCAATACGTACTACAAATTAAATCACACCTGCCGCCCAAGGAAACATAATGAAAGAGATCATAATAATAAGATACGTCCGAAAGATGTTAATCATAATGATTCTTTCGTAGTATTACAATACGGGGACATGTGTGCCCTGAATCCATTCAGTGTTTTTTCTTTTACATTATTTTTTTGTGATAAAAGGACCATCGGTCGTACTTCCGACCGGAAGACGTGCCATTCGGCAACCTGTTCGACTGCAGGAACATTTTTTTCTGCACAAACACAGACAGGGGTAACCCTGTCTGTGTTTGTGCAGTAGTAATAATACTTACTGATTGTTTTTCCCTGTTTATTTGTAATACCTATTTCAAAAAATATTTCAAAACCTTAATATAAAAAAGCTTGCTGTAAAACAAAAATAATATTTTATAAAAAAAATTTTATTTATTCTGAACTAACAAACTAATTTTAATTCTCGATGTCTCGGGAAAGTATTCGTGTCCGGTGTCGCAATTTGTAAATAATTATTAAAAAATAACATATACTTTAAAGTTAAAATACAGGATGACTCCGAAAGTTCTTCGAGATTTTAAGGGCGGTTCTAACCATCAATACTAACATCTTTTACCAAGGAGCATCGCTTCGAAATTGCGGGTAAAAAATCAGCAATGTCTTTTTTTGAGTTTACAGCGACGTGCGACAGTTGTTGCTCTAGGCTCAACTCACACTGGCGCAGAGTCGAAGCGTCGCGACGCGTCATGTTTTTCGCCTATAGTATATTCATCTCTATTTTCCCATTATTAAGGTACAAATTTGTGTTATGCAAATATGGAAACGGCGCGTCGACGCTTGGATGCAGTCGAGCGGCTTCGCGCGTCGCCGCGCGTCATTTAAGCGCAGTGAGGTGTCAGACGCCGATCACACTGTGATCCGAGCGCATTAATGCGAGTTCGCGCGACGACACGCGTTGTAGCAGGGCGCGACGCGACGCTTCGACTCTGCGCCAGTGTGAGTTGAGCCCTAGCGTTTACTTAACCCAATAAAATATATGACAATTTTGTATGGCAGATTGCACAACACCTGTAACAGTCACGAGACAAAGAACATTTGATATACAAATATTTTACGCGGTCATTAACAACAGCTTTCAGTTTAAACTCGTAGTCGAGGCGCTGTACTATACATTTCATTACATATTATTATATCGAGTAAAAAATATAGAATAACGGTATTTTTGGGCGTCACCCTATATGCGTAACTTTCATTTACTTGGTTTCACATAATTGAATATTGTGATTAAAATTCATATTCTCCGCTTCAACTTAACATCTTCCATGACACATTCGCGTTAGGAACCTGCTTCGTATGGCTAGTTTATGTATGACGTCACACTTAAAAACCATAATGGTAGTTTTATATGTTAATCAGGTATATTGACATTACCAAGCGTTAATTTGAGTTTTTTTTTGTTTCGATATATTCATTCACATTATTTGATTATTATTTTATATTTAAAAAATGATTTTTTATTGTGAGCACTGTTTTCACAAAAGTGTATTTTTTCAAAGCCACCATTATACACTTTTCAAATCATTGTGAAATATTGTTTTCCATTATACCAAAAAATTTCTTTTCACTATAGAACTTGTTAGTCTACGTCGTTTCAAACAATACCTAAATGGAAAGTAACCCTAACACCGAGGTGCGAAAAAACATTATTTTTGTTCACTGTTCCGGATATACTTCCCATTTCTGGTGTACTGCGATAGATTTCTCGGAAACGGTCCGGTTGCGTCTCCTAAAACCGGATATAGACCCTTTTGTGTAGCAAACAAAAAGAGTGGATGTAAAGAAACTTAAACAACAACAGAATACATAGGTTGTTGACTTTGGAGAGTTTGGTTTTATTTAACAGACTGGCGTCGGCCTGAATGCTAATGCCAGTTGTAAGAAAAGTACTCTTTAGATATACCATAGAATTCCTAATAAGGTAATGAAAAAACATCGTGCACTTTGTTGCGGTTTCTATAGTCTTTAATGACATTGTAGTAACGTATTTCTTAATAATAATAAACTTTAGGTTCTGTATCCTTTTTGTGCAATGGAGGATTTTTGTTAATAACAATACACGAAAAATAATAGTTCAACACATGTCCTCCAGAAAACGTTGCTAGATATATTTTGATTGTTTTAATTAGATATGATAAATAAAAGTGGTTGAAATACGGCTCCTTGCAAAACACCATTATAACATCTCATAAAAATATGAAAAAGTTTAAAAAGATGATGCCAGTGCATCGTCTAAAATAAATATATTGACCGTGAAATTCGTTATCACAATATCGCGTGTTTCTAAATTACCCTTTTGAATACAGGATGATCACACGTTTCCTTAACGACGGGTCATTTGTATCGCCCAAGGCCCGGCAGACGTGCAGCTGAGATTTTTGGAAACGATATCTGAGAAGGCTTGGGGCGACAAAAATTAAAAACCAATTTTAATCGCTTTTTTCTGAACGAAAACGTTGGGGTTGGCGACTTAAGAAGCACCCTATATTTTAAGCAAAATTGGATATTTTATGCTGATATTCTCGTTTTAGATATTTGTCTATTACGTTCTAAATCTGTTTTCCAGTTTTGTACATAATCAGTAATGTTATATGAGCCTTTGAAAATACATCGCGTCTTATTACATTGTTACACAAACTTATTTGTGTCGTTGGTGTATAAGGTTTATATTTATACGTAGTTTAAATGATTACAAGGGTATGCATTAAGACTGAACCAGCCCTACATCGCATCTCAGTTGTGAAAATCCGGGCGCGCGGGAGTCGCGGGGCGGCGCGGGCGACGCGGCATCCGGTCCAGTTGACAGGTGGCTGCCTTCGCCGCGCCCACTCTAATGAAACAATTTGTTGCTCGCCGACCTTCCACAACCTTCTCCGTACACCTTTCCTTCTCTAACCCACGCCTTACCCTATACCCCATCTCATTCATCTCCGTCTCTTTAAGGACCTTGTGCTGTTTGCATTATACAAACGCCAACTCTTCGCCGAGCCACTGTCGCCTTTATACTTTTGACATTAGATACCTCTCCAACGTTTTCGATGTTACCTTAGGGAGCAATGCTGTGGTCTTTTTTCTTGATTTATCGATTCATTCATTGACTTTCGTAGTATACCTATAGTTTTTGCAATCAAATGTTCCAAGTCTTTGACCTTAATTTTAGATGGACAATTTTATAAAACTTTCATATGGTTTTGTTGTATTGAAACTCTTGCTACTGTGTTGCTGAATTATAAGAATTCGCTGTATATATGCTTCTTTCGGTTCATCTGTCCATCTGTGTTACAGTTTATTGTCTATTGGTATATAGCAATCGGAACATGCTCTTAAAGCGTCCAACTCCAATAAGGCATTTCCTTCCAATAATTGGTGATACTTTACTTTCTTTTATTATTCAGCAATTCAGCATAGCAAACGTCATTGACTGTTGCTTTGTTCGCACTTTTAAGAAAGTTATGATTTTGTTTATTATTTTAGGGAATAGACTCATGCAGCTTTTCTTTGCTAGATTAAAGTTTGATTTAGTAGATATTTTTAAATCGATTAGAATCGATAGTCAATTTGTTAACAATGTCTAGACTTATTTCAACTGTATGAATAAATATATTTCTTTTTTAACTACCCAAGCGAAGTCAGGTTGAGTTCTTATACTATATAAACTACGAATTTTTGGTCTCATCGCCTCGGGCGTCAAACGCCCGGATGCCGTGCCGCAGGCTCTAATTCGATTTCTGGCAACACAGGTAGCAGAGAACAAATTACTAATGCGCGTAATTATTAATCGCCAGCGGTTACAAGTAATTTATTACAGAGGTTGTTTATTACAAACGCCATTAGTGATCTCGGCTCAAAGCTTTTAGGGTATGTTTACTAATAGGTTTTCGATTGATCTTAAAATTGGTTTGTTCCTTTCGTTGATTTTGTGTTTACAGTTTTCGTTTGTTTCTAGTGTTTCATTCTTAGAGTTTAATTATACAATAAAAAACAAAATCGGCTATTTGACATGGAAAATACATGAATTACACAAACATTGAACAAAGAAACAAAATTCAAGTTAAAGTGTGTCATCCATCAAGGATCCAAGACTCGGCATCTGAGGCCTACTCGTATGCTAATTACCATAGCCCTCCCTGTTGTTCTGCCGTGGCCTATCATAAATTGGAACACCACAATCAAAATATAATTTAGATAAAAAATAAAAACTCAAACAATTGTAGACAATTAAGCACTAAATAAATTATAGTGTATTGCTTGATTTAAATTGCCTTATTTAACTTTAAGTGTTACTTGTTATCTCCAAATATTGCTCTACTACTCCAAACTTTAATAGCAGTAGAACTCCTTGCGAAAGAGTTGGTAAGAGCGACGGCCCCAGACGTTGGTTCGAGTCCAGATTGATCGATGGATTTTTTCTTTATGTTGTTCGATCTTTCTATCATTAAAAAAAACAAACTAGCGGAGTATTTTCACAAAAAATATGTGAATATCTAGTAGTAAAAATATCATGATATTCAATA